ACAGGACTAAAGGTTTTTAGGCTGAAGAAAGAGTCCCGCGGTGCTGCAGCAGGAAGACGGTGTGGGAGAAGCTACACAGCCTTCTTGAGCAAAAAAGGCAGCAAGACTGAGCAGACAACAACTCCATCTCTTGGTCGATGCTGCCCCCTGGAGGTATCGTCAGCAGAGGTATTGTGGTTCCCTTTCAAGCTATGTTGTCTCCTTTTCATCCCACGACCGTTGGGTCAGTTTCTTTGGATCTCCGGGGTAGTTCAGTGGCCCCCAAACCTGTGTGCTCTAACATAACTTGAATGCTTCCGGGTTCCATAAACACAAGCCTCCTCAAACTTTAGTACTGCCCCTCAGTGAGGCCTGCAAAAAACCACTCCTATCAGGCAAGTCTGAATATTAGGTTTCAGGATAGATGGAAGGGAAGGTCAGAAACTGCAAATACAAGGTGCCCCGCCTGCACAGCCTTTCTTACATCTGAGCATTAGTTGGCATAGGTGAAGTAGCCTGTCTGGGAGGCTGTCTCCCTCGCAGGGTACACAGTGACCATTTCTCTGGGAACCCACTCCCTTTGTCGAAGCAGCCCGGGCTTCCCCTGTCCAAGTCCCAAACCCTGGGCCCTTCTCTTGTCCTCGCGATGAGGCTGGAGTCAGGCCAAATATGAGAACATCTGGATCCCCCAAGGTTGACACCTAGAAGTGAGGTACGGGCGTAGGTGAGCCAGCAACAAGAAGCAGGAAAGTAAGGCGTAGGAAAAGATTCCGCAGGCCGCCGCCCAAGATGAGCTTGCGTTCTCTGGGAGCCCAGCACAGCACCATTTAGCATGGGACAGGCCTAAAGGAAGTCCTGGGGTGGAGAGTCAGGCAGGGTAAAACTGGAAGGACGTAAAGGGAAAAGGGAAAGTGGCGGTGGCAACGGGGCGAGGTCAGTTAAAGACGCTGCCCTGGTTCCACCCCTAGGGCATTTGGGCCAATCAGGAGTCATTCAATCCCCCAACATCAAGCCCCAGCCCCATCCCCTGCACTTCAGTCTTGGGCGCCAAGATGCTCAGTGATGAAGTGAAATCTCTGAGATACGGTTCCCAAAGCCAATCAGAGAGGTGCTCTCAGAGACGAGACGGGAACCCCCCCCTTCCCCCACCAAAGGAAAAAAAGTCAGGAGCGGAATATGGCGGTGCCCTCGTCAGGCCTGCAGCGGCCAATTGGGAGAGCCAACCAGCCGCGACTGCTCTAGCTCCGCCTTAGAAGGTACCAACCTTTCCTTTACCGCACGCACAACTGAGCAATCACGCACCCAGCACTCTGACCAAGCGCATCGACCCTGAGGTCACCTCCTCTCCCTGCCCGCAACCAGAGGGCATAAGCTGGAAATAGAAACTGCTTTCTTTCCACCACTCACCAGGACCTGGGAGGGAGTTATTAAGCCGTAGGGGCGGAGGAACCAGAGAAAAAAATGACCGTTTTCCTGTCTGCCAGTGTCTTCCCCCATAGGACTTAAAGGCGCTCCATGTCTCCGGTCTAGACTATAAGTTCAAATGAGGTGTATAAGCGGGGACAGGAGGAAGTCTCCAAGTCAAATAAAGATATGGATACGATGGACACCCTGCAAAGCTGGCCTACCCTTGATCCAATGGTGCTAGCCACAACCAGAGCAGCTAGAGAGCTGAGGCTGGAGAGGAGGCAATCCCATCGTCAGTTCAAGGGGGGGCAGGATACAAGGAGAGCCCATATGGGGGAGCCAAGGTAGCTGCCCTTGGGGCAGTGCCTGCGGCTGTACAGCAACGTTCTCAGCCTTTTAACCAGGCGCCACCTCCCTCTACCAGGTCGGTTGCTCATGAAATAGTCCCCACCCTAAAACCAATGCAGCCACTTTGGCCTAAAGCAGCTAGAGGTTACACGTGTGCCCCTACTTTCTAGACACCCACCAGAAGGCAGTCAGAAAGGGAAGGTGACCCTAGAGCAGGGATGGGGCTACTTGAAGGCCCCAGGAGGAAGAAAAGAAATAGGAGAAGAGTATTGTCATATTAAATATTTATTGTTCTCTACAGACTGACTTTGGAATATCTCTCAAGCCAGGATGGGGACTGGTTAGTGTTCAAGTTGCTGAGATCTTAGGTCAAAAAGCTACAGAAATCATTTTGAGTGAAAAAAATAATGACTTGGAGAAAGTTTTCCGTTGCCACCAATTCCAAGAGCTGAGGCTTCACACCTCAGGACACGGTGACAAGAGTTGAGTGAATTGGAGAATTAGGCAGTAAAGGTTTTACTGGAGGAAGAGAGAAGAGCCTTGGTTTTTGTTGTTGTTATTTGTTTGGGGGGCGGGGGTGGGAGGGTGACAAAACTGGGAAAATGAAAAACATCGTTTTGAAAGCCTAGGAGGAGGTGGTCCTGGGAAACCTGAAGATAATTGGAAGATTCAGCAAGCCAAGGGGATCCAGCTTACCCTGATGAGGCGGGATCTTGGGAAAGAAGGCAGGGTGAAGCATGTCAAGGACCTGGGAGGCAAGGGGAAAACTGAAAAGAGGGGACACCAGGTGAAAAAGGGCTATGGGATGGGGTAGAAGAGTCCTTGGAGAAGGCTGGTGGATCCCAGGGTCTGGCACATCAGAAGTTGGGCTTGTGCTTCTTGAGCTCCACCATAAGGTGGTGAATGTTGATGAGCTCAGCCCGGGCAGGAAGAGCTCGGAGCTGGGGCTGAGACAGCACCCGGTGGAAGCGATGATAGAGCTGGATCAGCTGGGTCAATGCTCCCTGGTCAGAGAAAGTGAAGGAGGGGTCAGACTATGGGGAGGTGCTGAGGATGATTAAGAATCTGGTTAGGGCTCATCCAGAACTTTGGGCACAGCTGGTAGTTGAAGATCAAGGGTCACTTGGATGATGCTGAGCCCAGGATAAAGAGGAGAGGAAAATTAGTGAGGGGAATGGAGTATGAGTACGGGCTGAGAGCTGCAAGTCACCTGAATGATACTAGTTCCATTTCTGAAGTTGGTGAAACTCCGCATTACATCCTGACTCAGAGATTCCACCGATGATTTCCAGGAACTACCAAAGCCACGGATCAGCTGAGTAACTCGGGCTGATGGCAGGAGGAAAGAGATAGCATCAGACAGGGACTAGGCTAAGTGATCTGCGACCCCACTAAATCCCTTCCAAGACACATGCATCCTCACCACCTAACCCCTCTTTTCTGGTGTTCTCCCAGCCCATTCTTTCCTACTCTACCCACTCCTCATGTAATCCACATTCTCTCATTTTTTCCAGTCACCACTGACCCCATCACTACCATACCATCCTCATACCTTCTTCCCCTCGAAGTCGCTCAGCCTGTCCACGCTCAATCAAAGCCTCAGCCTCCTTCACAAATGCCACCAGACCCCCAAAAGGGGGAGACAGCAACTCTTCAATGAATTCCTGAAAAACAGGGAGTTGAATGTCTTGGTGTCAAGGGATTATCCCAATTCTGGCATCATAATCAACTAAGTCCTTAGAACATTCCCATAGCAGAACAGCGAAACTCTGGGAAGGTCATACACTTTAAGGAACTGCCAGTCTCACAAGAGGTAGGGGAAATCTTCAAGGATCCCCTCCTCAAAAACAAACAAACAAAAAACAGAAACTAAACTTGAGCTGGGAGCAGAAATTGGGGTGAGCGCTGGAATCAGAGGAGTGAGCAATGGAAGAGGCAGGGCTACCAAAAGGCAAATGGCCACGGCAATTCTGCTTTCTGGAAACTGAGCCTGATGCCAGCCTCAAGTGGGGAAGCTGAGCCTGGGTCTCTCATGAGAGCCACAAAGACATGCCAATGTAGACCCAGGTGGATGGCATCTTTCAGCTGTTGCAAAAGCAGAGGCAAATCCTCTCAATCCAATTTAGGCCCATATGACCTCTCTGCCCCCATTTAAGATCAAGCAATAAACTCAAAGATCACCAGATACGTAAGAAAGTATTGCAAGTCAGTATAGTGATGGACTTAGACCTCCAAAGACTGCCAACATTAGAACTGTCAGATACATAGCAGTTGTACATTCTGTATGAAATGCTTAAAAAAGTTAAAGACACAGAGATGACCCATTAACAAGATTACGAATCTTGAGAGTTGAAACAAAAAGAAATTTTTTAGAAATGGTTTAAAATTTTGTAATGTTTTAAATTTTAAAAAGTTAACAGGCTAAATAGCAGATTAGAAATACCTGAAGAATGATACAGCAAACTATAATTTATAATTGAAGAAATGACTCAGAATGCAGCACAGACAGATAAGGAGATGGAAATTTTTGAGACACTGAAAGGTATAGAAATCTAACTAATGGATCTCGACAGGGATCACTGATGGCTACTGACAAAAAAATGAGCCAGGAAGACAATATGTACCCTGAAGAAAGTACACACCACTACCTCTCGAATATCCTTGCAAAAAGATAATAATTGGAATCTGACCAAGCCTTTCCATTTAACTACTCATTTATAGGAAAAGAGGAACAGTTGAGCCACATCATGAAATGCAATCAGCAAAAAGCACAGTACATCATTCTACATGACAAATGACTCAGTTTCTTCCACAAATAAATTTCAAAGGGGTGGGGTAAAAATTAAGGGAAATCTATAGATTAAAAAGAGACATACATAGGGACCGTACATGGATCCTGATTTGAAACATAAAAATTATGCCATAACTAGGGAAATTTGAACACTAGCTATTTTAAATGATTTTTTTTTACGTGTGATAACATTGTGGTTTTTAAAACACATTCTGATAAGATGAAGCGATAATGATGTATATGATTTAATTCAAAATAACTGTAGGGAGGGGGCACAAGAAGAGGATGAGTAATAGGTGTTGATTCTGATGAAAGAAAACTATCTGAGTTGTTACTAGTCGAAGACCTGTGATAGTCCCAGGGGGTTCATTCTGCTATTCCACATTACCATATAGACTTGAAATTTCCCACAATAAAAGTAAACTTTTTTTTTAATGGAAGGGAAAACAGAAAAAAAAAACAAAACTGCAGATAGTAAGATCTGGTAAGGTAGAAGTGAAACTTCCATCCCATTTAAAAATAAACTACTTCCATTTAAATATAAAATCTTTTCCCAATCTTCCCACAAAATATCCACTTATATCCACTGAAGGTAACTAATATGAGACTAAGGATACACCCCCAAGTATGGATCTTTCTATAAACAAGGAATCTATCTTTGTGATGTGATTTTTTGACAAAGATTAAATAACCATAATGTTTACATGTTTAGTACCTGTATTTTATTGTTTTAGGTCTTATGGTATCAAATAGCAGTCTAGTTTCATTTTTTTGCATGTGGCTTTCCAATTTTCCCAGCACCATTTATTGAAGAGGCTTTCTTTTCTCCATTGTATGTTTTTGACTCCTTTGTTGAAAATTATTTGCCCACATGTATGTGGGTTTATTTCTGGGTTCTCAATTCTGTTTCATTGGTCTATGTGTCTGTTTTTCTGCCAATACTATGCTGTTTTGAATACTGCCACTTTGTAGTATAATTTGAAATCAGGAAGTGTGATAACTCTGGTTTTGTTCTTTTTCTCAGGATTGCTTTGGTTATTCACGTTCTTTTGTGGTTCCATAGAAATCTGATTTTTTTTGTTGTTGTTTTATTTCTTTAAAAAAAAAAAGCCATTGAGATTTTGATGGGTATTGCATTAAATCTGTATATTGCTTTGGCCTTAGACAGGATATTATGAATTTGACCTCAAGACAAGGGAAATAAAAGTGAAACCATCAACAAAATAAAAAGGCAACCAACCGAATGGGAGAAGATATATGCAAACAGTACCTCTGATAAAAGGCTAATATCCAAAATATATAAAGAACTCATACAACTCAACACAAAAACGAACAATCCAATTAAAAAATGGACAGAGGACATGAACAGACACTTCTCCCAAGACATACAAATGGCCAACAGACAGATGAAAAGATGCTCAACTTCGCTAGCTATTAGGGAAATGCAAATTAAAACCACGATGAGATACTACTTCAAACCTGTCAGAATGGCTATTATCAGTAGTGGAGATTTTGTGGTGAGAATGTAAACTGGTACAGCCACTGTGGAAAACAGTATAGAGGTTCCTTAAAAAATTAAGAATTGAATTACCATATGACCCAGCAATCCTTCTTCTGCATATATACCTGAAAATTTTGAAAACGTTTATTCATAAAGATACACGTACCCCTATGTTCACTGCAGCATTATTCGCAGTGGCCAAGACATGGAAACAATGGAAATGCCCTTCTATAGATGATGGGATAAAGAAGACGTGGTACATATATACAATGGGATGTTACTCAGCCATTAGAAAAGGTGAAATACTGCCATTTGTGACAACATAGATGGATCTTGAGAATATCATTCTAAGCGAAACAAGTCAGGCAGGAAAAATCAAGAACCATGTGATTTCACTCATATGTGGGATATAAATCTGAAAGCAACAAATGAACAAGACAGACAAAAACTCAGAGACACAGACAACAGTACAGTGGTTACCAGAGGAAAAGGAGGGAAAGGAAGGTAGAAAAGGGTAAAGGGAGTCAAATACATGGTGACAGGAGATTTCACTTCGGGTGGTGAACACACAATGCAACATACAGATGATGTATTATAGAATTGTACACTTGAAATCTATATAATTTTATTTACCAATGTCACCCCAATAAATCTAATGAAAAAGTTTTAAAAGATTAAATAACCAAATTCAACCTATTAGAGTTACCTAAATGCCATAACCCACACACAGTCTTAACAATATAACAGTGGGGGGCACAGGAAGCAGACTGCAAAGGGAAGTTCAGCTAATAGAGATGACTTGCCCTAACATAGCAGGCATGAGCCATATGAGCTACTGATCACTTGAAATGTGGCTAGTCATAACTGAAATGTGCTTAAGCATAAAATATACACCAGATTTCAGAACTTCACATGGAAAAAATTTTTAAATAAATCATTACTAATTTTTGCTAATTACATGTTGAAATAATATTTTGGACATAGTGCTTTATACGAAAGACTATTAAATTAATTTTACTTGTTTCTTTTTAATTTCTAAAATGCAGAAACAGAAAATTTAAAATTACTTAAGTGGCTCATTTGTGGCATGCATTATATTTCCACTGGACAACAATGGTCTAGACTTGTTTAAACTTTAAGTTCTCTATCCAGCAAAAAAGAATGTTCTCATAGCAGAAGAGTGACCAGAGGGAAACTAAGCTGGGCTTTAGCCAGCAATCCTTCCCACACAGTATCAAGCAGCAGCCCACCCAAAGAGACTGGAGCACTGATGACAGCTGGCTTTCCACCCTGGCAAATTCCATGGCACCTCAGCTGCTCTTAACACTGTCCACTGGCTTAAATGTTTCTTGTGGGATCAGGGGGTCTAGAGAATTGCACTTCTAAAGTCAGAGCTGATATTCCCTTGGGTCACCTAACTGGGCAGGTGAGGAAAATGGTTTCCTTTTTTGTCTAATTACATGTTTATTTTACAAAAAAGAGAGAACAGAATGGGAAGTTTAACCTAAAACTATTCAAATCCCCGAAGAAGAATGGAAGAAAGCAATATTTAAAAAGATAGTGGCTGTGAATTTTCCCAAATTAATGAAAAAGTAAATTCAAAGACCCAAGAAACACAAGATTCCAAAATATAAATAAAGAGAAATCCACATACAGACTTCAGAAAACTAAAGAAAAAGAAGGGGGGCTCTTTAAGAGCAGCCACACACTGCCTTCAAAGAACAATATTTAGAACAACCGCAGACTTCTCCACAGTAACAATTTAAGCTAAAGTGGAAAATCATCCTCTACATGTTGAGAGAAAGTAACTGTTAGAATTTGACAGTAACCCAACAAAACTATCCTTTCCTAAGAAAGAATAAAGATATTTATATAAAAACAAAAATGAGATTTATTACCAATAAACTTTCAAAAAGGATTTCTAAGAGTTGCTTCAGGAAGGAGGGAAATGATCCCCAAAAGTTAGCTTGATGAGCAAATAAGCTGGGAAATATCCGTGGAAATTGAAATAAATAGTATCATTATAAAATGACAATTAAAAGTAGGACAGAAATAAAATGCTGATTAATAATTAGCATGGAAGGCAAGAGGAGGAGGGGTGACTTTGAGCATTAAAACACTAAATGTTTTAAAGTTCATGTATTTTTTGAGAGAGGGGTTAAATATTAAGTATAGATGTTAAGTTAAATATGCAAGGTAAAATTTAAAGAACAAATTCTAAAAGAAGGGAGTACAAAATCCAAACAACTAGAGAGAAAAATAATTTAGGAAGAAAGATAAAGGCAAGATGCACAAATAACACAAGACAAACAGAAAACTAAAGACTGTAGAAACGAGTCCAAATGTAACATTAATCATAACATAAATGGATT